GGGGGGGGACCCAGGTCCTTGGAAATAATAACTAACGCTATGTAAGGAGAAGCAAAAGAGGTGAGCGGTAGAGACCCCAGGATGGAGGGGGCGGGGCTTGGCAGGTGGGGTGCAAGCTGGGGGGGGCTACAGAGGGACCGGTGGGTGCTTAAAGCTGTTTGGAGGAGACGGTTTTTCCCCGGGAATGATCGGGTGTCGCTCGGTGAATTTCAGAGAGTGAAGGCGTTCTGTACACGTCTTGTCATGGCGGTCGGGGTGGGGTGGCTGAAAAACAACGGGGGGGGGGGATCTCCTGACCTCCCGCCCAGTCTCCAGTCCTGCCAGAGATCCAACCGATAACGGGGTGTGTGTGTGTGTGTGTGTGTGGATCAACATGCAGTTTTCAAACTGCTTTTTCTTTGGTCAATTGTGGGACTTGAACTCAGGGCCTGGGCGCTGTCCCTGAGCTCTTTCGCTCAAGGCTGGCGCTCTACCATGTGAGCCACAGCGCCACTGCTGGTTTTCTGGTGGTTCACTGGAGATGAGCGTCTCATGGACTTCCCTGCCGGGGCTGGCCTCGAACTGTGATCCTCAGATCTCAGCCTCCTGAGTAGCTGGGATGACAGGCGGGAGCCAGAGGCGCGAGGCGAGCCCAGCTGCACTGTCCTGGGTGGTTGGGATGGATCTAAGGTAGACGCTGTGCTCTCCTGCTTCAGACACCTGCCCACCCCCCTCCTCCTGCTGCTCTGCGGCCTCCTCCTGTAGCGCCAACAATGAGTCTCGGCAGGCCTTACCTAGGGTCTACACACACATGAAGTGTGACCCTTCGGGGAGCTCTGTCTGCAGAGGTGGCTCTGGCGACGAGGGCTCAGGAGATGGGGTCAGACTTGGCACTGGAACACAGAACACACGGGGGGGGGGGCGCGTCAGGATGAGCAGGAAGAGGCAGGGCGGGCAGCGGGCTGCGAGACCACTGCAAACCGTAAAGGAAACCACGGCCAAAGGGCCGGCGAGGGCCGGGCCGCAGCTCAGTGACAAAGCACTTGCCTAGCAAGTGTGAGGTCCTGGGTTCGATTCCCGGTCCCGAAACAGAAAAGACCAAGAAGAACAATGACGCTGATGATGATAACAATGGTAAGCTGGGCAGGTGGCTCAGTGGTAGAGCGCTTGCCTCACGTGCATGAGGCTCTGAGTTCGATTCCTCAGCACCACATACACCACAACCAAATTACATTAATGAGATTTAAAAAAAAAAAAACAAAAACGCCTTCTGCTTATTTTTTTAGTGGTCCTGGGACTTGAACTCAGGGCCTGGGCACTGTCCCCGAGCTCTTTCAGCTCAAGGCTGGTGCTCCACCACTTGAGCCACAGCTCCACATCTGGTTTTCTGAGTGGTTCATGGAAGATCAGAGTCTCCCAGACTTTCCTGTCCAGACTGGCCTTGAACCGTGATCCTCCGATCTCAGCCTCCTGAGTCGCTGGGATGACAGGCGGGAGCCACCAGCGCCTGGCTCTGCTGGCTGCTTTTGTGTGTGTGTGTGTGCGGGTACCAAGATTTGAACCCCCACTCTTGCCAGAGAGAGGGGCTCTGGCACCCAAGACCTACCGGTGGGCGTCTGACTCTCTCTCGAGGCCTCGGGAGTGGGCTCACGGGAAGCCGCAGGCTCTTCCTGGTCAGGAGCACTGCTTTTGGAGTCTTCTTCAGGGCTGTCTAGTGCTTCGTGGTTCGCGATCCGCCCGTCGTCTCCGGGGCTGTGGGAAACGGTGCGCTGTTTACGCGTGCTGCACAAGGGCCTCCACTTTTCTCGAGATGGGGTCATCCAGTGCGGGCCTCCCTAGTCCCCTCCTCCCTGCTCAGCCTCCCCAGTGCTAGGGTTATTGGTGTCAAACCCACTGTATTCGTGGTAGTGGTGGCGGTGGTGGGGCTTGAACTCAGGGCCTGGGCGCAGAGTTCTTATTATAAAGGGGATGTTACACAGCTCCTCCTGCTCTGTGTTACCTGCATGTAGCTCCAACAGGGTCGGATTCTTCGCTCCTCTCCTTGTCCCCCGATTCCTCAGGGTTTAACCCTTCGGGCTCAGGGGCGAAAAGCACACCATACAGAACATTCTCCGTTCTCTTCAACTACAAAGGAAGAGACACGTGGTTTTTAGTGTGTTCTTACCACCTGAATACCAGTCTGTCTAAATGTTTCAAATAGCCAGGTACTGATAGCTCACGCCTGTCATCCCGGCTACTCAGGAGGCTGAGATCTGAGGATCATGGTTCAAAGCCAGCCCGGGCAGGAAAGTCTGTGAGACTCTGATTGCCAATGAACCAGCAGAAAACTGCAAGTGGAGCTGGGGCTCAGAATGGTCGACAGAAACCAAACACCCCCAAAATAAACACACAACATAAACATCCGTATCAAGTGACTTCAAATCATGCACCAAATATTTAGTGGCTAAAAAAAAAAATTCTAGATTGGAGTATATTGAAATCATTATTAACATTTCCTATCAGCTCACCCTAGAATTCTAGTAGCGTTCCTGTCATTGAATTGGCAATGCTTTCTTCTAACTTTGATTATACTCTGCGTTTTCTTCTTGTTTGGCTGGACCTGGGGTTTGAACTCACGGCCTAGACGCTGTCCCTGAGCTTCTTTTGCTCAAGGCGAGCACTCTACCACTTGAGCCATAGCACCACGTCTGGCTTTTTCTGTGTGTGTGGTACTGAGGAATCGAACCCAGGGCTTCATGCATGCTTGGCAGGTACTCTACCACTGAGCCACACAGCCAGTGCCGTGTGTGTGTGTGTGTGTGTGTGTGTGTGTGTAAGCACAGATTCTGGGGTTTGAACTCAGGGTCTGGGCGCTGTCTCTTGGCTTTTATGCTCAAGGCTGGCGCTCTTCCACTCTGAGCCACATAGCACTTCCGGTTTTCTGGTGGTTCATGGGAGATCAGAGTCTCACGGACTTTCCTGCCCGGGCTGGCTTTGAACCTCGATGCTCTCAGCCTCCCGAGCAGCTGGGATGGCAGGCGGGAGCCGCGGCGCCCGGCTCACTGTGTTTTTCTGGCGAGGTGGAGGCCCCGGGCCTCTGACTGAGCCCTGCCCCGCGGCGTTTCTCTGGTGGGATCTCACGCTACCTCCTTGCCGGAGTCTGGACTTTGGGGCTCAGCGGCGGTGGCGGGAAGAGCGTCTTCCGTGGGGGGTTCACGGAGTGGCTTCCCGTCGCTTTCCGTACGGACGGCGTCCGGCTCCTTCGCGCCGTCGTCCCTCCTCCGAGGCTGTGGGGACACAGAGCATTCCCCCCGTGACTCCTCTGGGTGCTGGGAGTGCTGGATTACAGGAGTGCACTACAGCGCCCGGCCCAGTAGCTGGGCAGGGAAGGATGGGGGTGCTGATGTGTGCTCATGCCATTATAGATGGGATCCACCCAGGGCGGACCGCTGCGTGCTAAAAGACAGCCCGGAGGACACGACAGACAAACAAGGGCCATTTCTGTTCCTGTCTAGGAGAAGGGACCGAGAACAGACCGGAAGTCACGGCACCGACAGTGGGCCTCGGCGTTCATTCTGATCTGTGCCATTCGGGTCACACTGAGTCAGGACACACACACACTTTTTATTGGGAGGGAACTGTAGGCTATCTTGGTACTTTGCTTAATGGTGCCAGTCCTGGGCCTTGAACTCAGGGCCTGGGCGCTGTCCCTGAGCTGCTTTTGCTCAAAGCCGGCGCTCTACCACGTGAGCCACAGCGCCACTTCCAGCTTTTTCTGCTTCTGTGGTGCTGAGGATTCAAACCCAGGGCCTCATGCATGCTAGGCGAGCACTCTACCACTGAGCCACCTGCCCAGCCCTGCATTGTTTTTTTGGTAGTTCTTTGGAAATAAGAATCTCACGGACTCTCTGCCCAGGCTGGCTTTGAACTGTCATCCTTGATCTCAGACTCCTGAGTAGCTGGGATGACAGGAGTGCGCCTGGCATCTCGTTTTTTCTTGGTGTTTGTGTAGCAGGAAGATCAGGCCCGGTGCAGGCATCTCCAGCGAGAACTCTGCCTCTCTGCTTCTCAAGGCCATGGCAAAGCCGGGCGCCAGTATCTCCCGCCTGTCATCCCAGCTACTCAGGAAGCTGAGATCCAGAGGATCGTGGTTCAAAGCCAGCCTGGGCAGGAAAGTCCGTGAGACTCTGATCTCCAATGAACCACCAGAAAACCAGAAGTGGAGCTGTGGTTCAAGTGGTAGAGCACCAGCCTTGACTAAAAGAGCTCAGCTACAGCGCCCTGAGTTCAAGCCCTAAGACCAAAAAAAAGAGAAAGAAACAAAACAATAAAGCAAGCTGGGTATCTGCGGACCACCCGTCATCCCAGCTACTCAGGAGGCTGAGATCTGAGGATCATAGGTCAAAGCCAGCCTGGGCAGGCAAGTTTGGGAGACCATCTCGTCCCAATGTAGCCCTTTTCAAAGGACCAAAGCGCTGCTCTGCGATTGTAAAGTCCAAGTCACGTGAGCCTTCAGACAGAAAATTCCAGGCCACTAGCGTACCTGCACCATCCTGAAGGGGTTCTCCCTCAGGCTGGAGGGGCTGTGTAAGGGGGGCGGGTCGGAAGTGCCCAGAACGTTCCACCCTTTCCTCCTCTCCCGCAGGCAGGCCTGCTGATGCCGGCGGATCCGCTCCATCTGCTCCTCCACCGTCATCCGGGGCCGAGAACTTTCTGCCAGGCAGAGCTGCTCCACGGCGCTTCGCGGTCGCTCCTTGAAAACGACAAGGAGAGGTGTGAAGCCGGGTGAGCGCTCAACACGGAGTCGCCTGGGGGACGCAGCGTGGGAGAAATGCGGCAAGGTGGGCTTGTGTGCTTCGCCTTCAAAACTCAGGAGGAGGCTGAGCTCTGAGGATCGTGGTTGGAGGCCAGCCTGGGCAGGAAAGCCTGTGAGGCCCTGAGCTCCAGTGAACCAGCAGAAAACCGGAAGTGGCGCTGTGGCTCAAGGGGTAGAGCGCCAGCCTGGAGTGGGAGAGCTGAGGGACGGCGCCCAGGCCGTGAGTTCAAGCCCCGGCAGGGCTGGGCCGAGGAGCCGGGGCGGGCGGGAGCCTGGGGCGCATGCGTGGGGCTGTGCAGCTGGCGGAAGCTCTCTGGGGCTTCACGGAGATGGTGGGAAGGAGCCATGACTCACAGTGCAGGAATGAGTCACGGGCAGAGCCGCCCGCAGCACCCGCTGTCCCCCGAAAACCCCCTGCCCTGCTTCCTGTGGCCCACGCCTGCCCGGCCTTCCAGGCAGGGTGACGGCCTCACACTCTGGATGGGGCTTTTATCATTTTAATTTTTCGCCAGTCCTGGGGCTTGAACTCAGGGCCGGGGCGCTGCCCCTGAGCCTCTTTGTGCTCAAGGTTAGTGCTTGAGCCAAAGCAGCACTCCTGGCTTTTTTCTGACTCGTCAGTTGGAGGTAAGAGTCCCATGGACCTTCCTGCCCTGGCTGGCTTTGAACTGTGATCCTCAGATCTCAGCCTCCTGAGTCGCTGGGATGACAGGCAGGATTTCTCTCGGGCCTCCAAGGCAGCCATCCGAGGAAAGACCCACACGGGTCCACAGACGGACGCCTGGATTATAGAACCTTTAGGAGTAGTCCTAAGGTGTTCACTGTCTAAATGTAATTGGAAGATGACCGCATCTTTCTTAGAAGAAAGAAAGAATTGGGGAAGCCACTAGAAGCTGTGGAGGGAGATAGGGAAGCCAGCAGGCTGGCCTGGGGAACTTCGAGAACGCTCGATTCTAGTCCAGTACCGTGCTGAGGTCCAGCACCTTCTTGGTTTTCCTCAAGGTCACGTACGAAGCGATTGTGGAAGACTCGGGCGTCGGGGATTTGGTTCTGGGGGGGACGATCCCCACAGGAAAGTGCGGCCCTGGAAGGAAAGCAGACTTCCATGAAGCTCTGTGTGTGTGTGTGCGCACACGCGCGTGCCCGTCAGTCCTGGGGCTTGAACTCAGGGCCTGGTATTCTTCCCTCGGCTGTGTTGCTTAAGGCTGGCGCTCTACCACCTGAGCCACAGCTCCACTTCTGCTTTTTGCTGGTTCATTGGAGAGTCTCATGGCTGGCTTTTACCTGTGATCCTCAGATCTCGGCTTTCTGAGTAGCTGGGATTACAGGTGTGAGCCACCAGGGCCTGTTAAGAAATTAAGCTGCAGATTTTCCTCATATTCTTGTTTCTAGAGTTCACGTGCGCGGGGCTGGGCAGGTGGCTCAGTGGTGGAGCGCTCGCCTAGCATGCATGAAGCCCTGGGTTCGATTCCTCAGTACCACAGACAGAGAAAAAGCCACAAGTGCAGCTGTGGCTCAAGTGGTAGAGCGCTAGCCTTGAGCAAAAGAAGCTCAGGGACAGCGGCCAGAGTTCAAGCCCCAGGACTGGCAAAAAAATAAATAATAATAATATTCCAGGCACGGTGGTGCATGCCTGTAATTCCAGCACTCAGGAGCTGTCAGCTGTAGCCAGCCCAGGCTCCATGGTAGGATTCTAACTCAAAACAGGCAAAACCCATTGACTACTATCCTAGCTACTCAGGAGGCTGAGATCTGAGGATCACAGTTCAAAGCCAGGTAGGGCAGGAAAGGTCGTGAGACTCCTTATCTCCAATGAACCACTAGGTGGCGCTGTGGCTCAAGTGGTAGAGGGCCCCACAACTGACCAACAATCACACACACACACACACACACACACACCCAGGAAAAGGGGTGATGGGGTCTTGGGGGGGGGCTGACCTTTGATGGCTGCGGTTTCGGCCTCTGACACAGGCTCAGATTTTTCTTCGCCATTAGACTCATCAACCTCTGCCACTGTGGTTAACTCAGGCTCACTCTTGTATAGCCTATAATCGGGACCCTGGGAAGGAAAGAGCAGCCACGATCAAACCCCACAAGGCTTGGGCTGCGTGGCAAACTCGCTGGTGAAACCCTGGCTAGCTTCTACCAGGTCTTGGCGTCTAATCGGCAACATTTACATGAAATTCCCGGGAAACACTGCAGCACTGGAAACCACACAATGGAGATGCGCATGATGAATAAGCAGAAAGAAACAAAACCAAACCTTAACTCGTTTTAACCTGTTTTGCTGGGCACCCATGGCTCCCGCCTGTCATCCCAGCTACCCAGGGGGCTGAGATCTGAGGACCACAGTTCAAAGCCAGCCTGGGGCAGGAAAGATCGTGAGACTCTTATCTACCATGAACCACCAGAAAACCGGAACTGGAGCTGGGGCTCAAGCCGTAGAGCGCCAGCCTTGAGTGAGAGAGCTCAGGGACAGCGCCCAGGCCCTGAGTTCAAGACCCAGGACCGACAAAACAAACAAAAAAATCCACACGTTGACGTGTACCTCCCCACACCCAAAACTTTCAAGACTCTCGCCTCAGCCTTCCTAGTGCTGGGATTACAGGCGTGTACCAATATGCTTGGCTGCAAACATGTTTAAGTGGGGAAACTTTTTGTTTTACAATTAAGAATACTCCTGTATTCTGTTGTTCTTTTGTGCTGGGATTTGGGCCTCTGGTAGCTACCTCTGAAGTCTTCAACAAGGTTACCGTAAATGAATTTGGGGGGGGCAGTGCTGAGGTTTGAACTCATGGTCTTGTTCATGGCGTGGGCTCTACCCCCAGAGCCATGCCTCCAGTCTGGCTTTTTTTTTTGCCTAGCTCAAAGGGGATGGATTCTCCGGGGTGGGCTTGAACCAATGGTGAGCCTCTGCCTGCGGGCAGGAATTACAGGCATGAGCCACAGATAGAGGTCACATTCTTCTCAGGATCACCGAGGCCTAAAAGTCATTTTGTAATCCAGTAAGTTTTCACTGTGACGACGGGGTGCGAAGGAAGGTCCACCGAAGCACTGACTTCTTGTTAGTGAGCATGATTTCTTTTGGGGTGGGGTGGGGGTGAGGCCTGAACTCTGGGCCTAGGCTCTACAAGCGCCACGTCCGGTTTTCTGGTGGTTCACTGGAGATCAGAGTCTCACCGACTTTCCTGCCTGGGCTGGCCGCCAACCACGATCCTCCGATCTCAGCCTCCTGAGCCAGCCGGGAGGACAGGCGTGAGCCACCAGCCTAGGCCTGGCTACGATTTGAACTCTGGGTAAGAGAACTGGTTCTGGCGTTCTGGTTATTGTCCTTTCTTATTTCACCTCTATGCTTTGATACTATAAAAGGGGGCCTTGACAACGGGGCTCTATCAGTGTGTGCCCAGCCAGCATGTTCCAAAAGGAAAGGTTCAAAGCAAGAACAAAAGCGCTACCACGCAATCATTCCAGTGAGAAAAACCATGATAAATACGAGCAGGCTAAAACAGCAGACGGGAAAAACCAAACCAAAACCCAGCAACGAATGATGATGATCTTCTGTGGAAATGACAGCGCTCTGGCTACAACAAGTAGGGTGACCAGAAAAAACACAACGGGGAGGAAAAAAAAAAAAAAAAAAGCAAAAAAAAAGCTTGAGTATGCAAATGAAGGAACTTTCCAGAAAGGGCGAGGGGGCGGGACCCGGTGGCTGCTGGGGCCACTTACGCAGTGAGGTCCATTTCTTGGGTGTCCTTGAGCTTGAGGCAGCCTCTTGTCCTCAGGCAGATGCGCTAGGTCCCTGCTATAACAGAGCAAGGAGCGGCTATCACTGCACAGAGGGGGGGGGATGGGAGGATGCTCGGTAAAGTCATAAGACCGAGGAAGTGGAGGCCGAGGGGGGGCGCTCTCCTCTTCCTAAGGATTGTAGAAGTCACCTTGTTTAGACAGGCACAGTGAAGTCAGCATCGCTAAAGTCTTTGCAACGGTACAGTAAATTCACATTCACACGTTGAAAGGGACACTGCCAAGCCAGAACTCGGGGTGGGGGGAAGAATAGGAACTTTGGCCCTCCCACCCCACACCCTTAAAAAAAAAAAAAGAAGAAGAAGAAAAGGTCAGAAGAGCCAGCTATTGGGTTTCCCCGCACGGCCACTTCTGGGTTGAGCTTGCCGCAGTAGTAAGTTAGCTTTAGTAAGTTAGCAGTAGTAAGTTAGCTTTAGTAAGTCAGCGGTAGTAAGTTAGCTTTCCCACTGCAGCTCCACTGTGTGAAATGACCAAGTTTCACCTTAAAAGAAGAAAAAAAAAAGAATCTTGCCCCATGCTGGTGGCTCATGATCGTGGTTCAAAGCCAGCCTGGGCAGGAAAGTCCATGAGACTCTGATCTCCAATAAACCACCAGAAAACTGGAAGTGGCACTGTGGCTCAATGGTAGAGCACCAGCCTGGAGCTGAAGAGCTGAGGGGCAGCGCCCAGGCACGGAGTTCAAGCCTTCCCCTTTATTAAAAAAAAACCCTTTCTCTTAGGTTTCTGCATCAGTCCAGTGTACAGGACCTCGTGTTTGGGTTGACAGTATCTCTTTACAGCGATCATTTCTCTACATCATCCGTAACAGAGAAGCAACACATCTATCAAGCATCCTACAAACTTTACCGATGAAAAGTATGCATTCTAAGTATTCAGAGCACTCAGAAAAAGCATGACAGAGTTAATTTCAATACACACAAAAAGCAGTGAGTTTTTCTTTTCTTTTGAAGAAAGATTCATGTTAGACACACCCAATTCCTGAACCAATAAAATCCCAACACTAAAACGATTTCACTCTATTAAAAAGAAATTGTGTTACGTAAACAGACTTAAATCCCTTCTCATTTCACAGGTGAAACGCTTTAGGCGACCTCTCCAGTTATACAACAGACTTAAATTCCTTCTCATTTTTTCACAGGTTAAACGCTTTAGGCGACCGTTCCAGTTATGAAACCAATGAGACTCACCTCACTCCTGTACTTAACTGTGGAGAAGGGCTTTGCCCCTGTCACACCTATGAGAAAAAAATTAAGACCCTGTAACTACTCACAGTAAACACAGTTTTCCCCCATGAATGGAACTTGAACTCAGGGCCTGTGCCCTGTTCTTCTGCTCAAGGCTTAGTGCTCTACCACTTGTGCCACAGCGCCACTTCTGGCTTTTTGGTGGTTAGCTGGAGATCAGAGTCTCACAGACTTTCCTGCCCAGCCTGGCTTTGAACCATGATCCTCAGATCTCAGCTTCCAGTGCTCAGCTAAACACATCTCTCTCTACCTACAGAAAGAATCATTTCTTTTTTTTTTTTTCATAGTACTGGGATGTGAGCTGTAGGAAATAATGATTGCTAGTCCATTCTTTCCTTTTTTTTCCTTTGCCACATGCCCAGACCCTTTTTTTGTTGTTTATTTGTAGTCTACCACTTTCTTCTGCTAGTAGCAGGCCTCCTCCTCCTAAGCAACATCATGTTGTTTAGGTTGTATACCTAGCTTTGAAAATGGACCAGGGTCTGGCAAGGTGGCGTAGTGGTAGAGTACTCGCCTAGCATGCATGAAGCCCTGGGCTGATTCCACAGTACCATATACATAGGAAAAGCCAGAAGTGGCGCTGTGGCTCAAATGGTACAGTGCTAGCCTTGAGCAAAAGAAATTCTTGGACAGTGGTCCCAGAGTTCAAGCCCCAGGACTAGCAAATGCAAACACGTGCACGTGCACGTGTGCGCGCACACACACACACACAGAGGCACGCACGTACGCCCGGAAGGGACAAGTAAAGCCTACTTCTAAAATTCAACCAGTCTGAAAAGGGAGTACAAATTACTCAATAGAAAATAAAAAGCCGGGTGCTGGTGGCTCATGCCTGTAATCCCAGCTATGCAGGAGGCTGAGATCTGAATACTGTGGTTCAAAGCCGATCTAGGCATCAAAGTCCACGACAGGTTCTTTTTGTTTTGTTTTTTGGCAGGTGCTGGGGCACTGTCCCTGAGCTTCTTTGCTCAAGGCTGGCGCTCTTCCACTTGAGCCACAGCGTCACTCCCAGCTTTTTTCTGAGTAGTTCCACGGAGTCAAGAGTCTCATGGACTTTCCTAGCCTCTTGAGTATCTAGGATTATAGGCGTGAGCCACTAGCACCCAGCTTTCTAGGAGACTTATCTCCAATGAACCACCAGAAAACCGGAAGTGGAGCTGTGGCTCAACGCGGTAGAGCGCTAGCCTTGAGTAGAGAGAAGTTCAGGGACAGTGCCCAGGCCCTGGGTTCAAGACTCACCACTGACCAAAAAAAGAAGAGAATTAGACTGTCATACTTCACACACTCCACACCAAGGCAGAAGGAAGTAGGTGGAAGACAAAAGCCCTCCCTGGTCCATACCCAGGAATGGCTGCTGACCGGAAGTCTCTTCATTACTTCCTATTATTATTTCCTTCCTGCATCTAGCCAACACACTTCTCCTAGGTTTGCCTGAAGCAGGGTCTGGATGTGTAGGCCGGGATGGCCTTGAACTTGTGGATCCTCCTACCTCCGCTGCTGCCGGGCTTACAGGTGTACACTAACCTCCTCAGCTGGCTTACATGACATGAACGTCAATGAGCAGAAGAGTCCTTCCGGCTAGAGGGGGCCGGCTTGGCCCACTGTACGCACCCGGTTCCCAGGAGCCTCTCTGCTGCTTGTGTTTGCTGAGGCCTTCCATTACGTCTTGGATCCTCCACATTTCCTTCTGGACCTGTGCGCGCTGAATTCCGGCCGACTCCGTCTGCTGGCGGAAACGGACAGACCACCGGGGGTGGGGGGGTGGGGAGGGGGGGGGAGGGAGTCCACCTGAGAAATTCTGCTAGGCAGATGTTGGAACAGCAGTGCAGGGAGCTTGTGTCCTATCTAGCATGAGCCTAGGGGATTCTGTGGGGTGACATTTTCAGTGGCAAAGAGAGAAAAAGATGGAACTTTTCAGACTCAACTAGACCATTCTTCATTTTTTTTTTTTCTTTTGTCAGGTTTGAACTCAGGGCCTGGGCACTGTCCCTGAGCTTTGATTCAAGGCCAGTGTCCTACCCCTTTGAGCCACAGCGCCACTTCTGCTTTTCTGGTGGTTCACTGGGGAGAAGTCTCAGAGACTTTCCTGCCTGGGCTTTGAACTGCGATCCTCAGCTCTCAGCCTCCTTAGCTGCTAGGAATGATAGGCATGAGCCACCAGCGCCTGGCCTGTTTTCCATTTTTGCAGAGTTTTACCTAGTGTTCTTCACGAGCTTAAGAAATTGAGACTAATTTGAAGGGACTAAATATGAAGCTGTGTACTGATGGAGCACACTTGTCACCCAGTTATTAAGAGGACCCTGATTCCAGGCCCAGGCTGGGCAGGTGGCTCAGTGGTACAGTGCTCGCCTAGCATGCACGAAGCCCTGGGTTCGATTCCTCAGTACCACATACACAGAAAAAGCCAGAAGTGGCGCTGTGGCTCACGTGGTAGAATGCTAGCTTTGAGCGAAAGAAGCTCAGGGACAGCGCCCAGGCCCTGAGTTCAAGCCCCACAACTGGCAAAAAAAAAAGAAAAGAATAAAGGATCTGGGCCAGTCTAGGCAAAAAAGTTCAAGAGACCCCATCTGAACTGAAAGAGCCGGGCGTGGTGGTGCACAGCTGTAGCGGGACACATAAATAGGAGGATGGTGGTCCTGGCTGGTCTAGGAAAAAGTTAGCCTCCCCTTCAAAAGGCACTAGGCGAGTGGCGCATGCAGAACGCCACCTGCACAGTCAATGTAAAGCCATGAGTTCAAGTCCCAATACTGTCAAAAACAAAAAAAAATGTAGAGGGGAAAGGCTAAAAACAGGAAACAAAACCAGAAAGCCAGGACCGTCTTCAGCTTCTGTGAAGCTGGAATCATAGGTGTCCACCACCACGCTGGGCCTTTGTTATTGTTTTAAAAGATTGTTTTTTTTTCTGGCCCTCCTGGGGCTTGAACTGTGGGCCTGGGCGCTGTCCCTGAGCTGCTTTTTGCTCAAGGTGAGTGCTCTGCCAACTGAGCCACGGCGCCACTTCTGTTTTTACTTATTTGCCTTTTTTATTTAGTCGTTTATTGGGGATAAGAGTCTCCTGGCTTTGAACCACTATCCTCAGATCTCATCCCCGAGTAGCCGGATTACAGGCGTGCGCCCCTGGTCCCCGACTTAGGATCTGGAGTCAGGAGGCTGGGTAGTACCGAGGGACCAGACCGTGGGTCTCTAATGTAAAATCAATTCACGGAATGCAACTCATGACCGGTGACCCGGAAGGACTCGGGGGTCCTGAGGTCAAATTTATAGGAGCAGCTGATGAATAGTCGGGGTGGTTACCCAGGTGCACAGAAGTGACAACTTCCAATCCCAAAGAAAAGCCGCCTGCCCTACCTGAACTTCTCCCAGGCGGTCCAGCTGTTCCTGCATCTGCTTCTGGGTGACGGTGACATCATACTCTAGCTTGTCGTACTCCCTCCACGCCCGCTCCAGCTCCTGCAACCAGAGCATCTATTACTGCAATGGGCAGCGCCTTTCTAGAAGTTTCTACGGGGGGGGGAACCAACCTCCTTTTTTTTTTTTTGGTCTGTCGTGGGACTTGAACTCTGGGCCTGGGCGCTGTCCCTCAGCTCTTCAGCTCAAGGTGAGCGCTCTACCACTTGAGCTACAGCGCCACTTCGGTTTTCTGGTGGTTTATTGGAGATAGGAGTCTCACGGTCTCTCCTGCCTGGGCTGGCTTTGAACCGCGATCCTCAGATCTCAGCCTCCTGAGTAGCTAGGATTACAGGCGTGAGCCACCAGCGCCTGGCACCAATCTCCTTTT